AAAAAAAAAAAAAAAAGGACCCTTAAGACCGCTTCCCAGCCTTGAAGTTAAGGCCATATGGCCTGCTGGGGTCCTGAGCCTCTCCTGGCTTGGGATGCCCTCTCCCTGGGGCAGCTGACCACAGGTTCTCTCTGCAGCCTTCCCAGAGGAGCTTCCTGCAGACCTGAAGCACTGGAAGCCAGGTGAGCAGGGCAGATGGACTGGGGTTGAGAGGGGGTGGATATCTTGGCAGGGAAGCTGGGATATTCTTAGATGCTCATATAAACTGGACCCCAGGATGGTGAAGTGATCCCTGCCTGTTCTCAAGTAGTTCCTAATCTGATGAGGGAGACAAATCCCTCCCATCTTAAATATTCCTATTACATGGAAGAAACTGGGGCCAGGTGCGCTGGCTCACACCTGTAATCCCAGCACTTGGGATGCTGAGGCAGGTGGATCACAAGGTCATCAGTTCGAGACCAGGCTGGCCAACATGGCAAAACCCCATCTCTACTAGAAATACAAAAATTAGTTGGTTGTGGTGGTGTGCGTCTGTACTCCCAGCTGCTTGGGAGGCTGAGGTGGAAGTTACAGTGAGCCGAGATTGCGCCACTGCACTTCAGCCTGGGTGACAGAGTGAGACTCCATCTCAAAAAAAAAAAAAAAAAAAAAAACAAAACAAAACAAAAAGAAAAAGTGGAAGAGATTGAACTCCTGGCCCAAGTCTGATGGGGATGGTGCAGCCCCTGCCCTTCTTTGGGCAGAGCCTGAGAGCTTGGGGCCTCTTAGGATCCCCTGAGGGGCTCATAGCTGTGTGTGGGAGGTGGTAGGGGCATGGAGCTAACAGCCTGTTCAAAGTTCTATTACGCCTCAGCTATTCGAGTGGAGGCCCTAGGGTCCTGCTCAGCAAAGCTCTCAGGGCCGAGTCACAAGGAGAGGACCGGGGGCTGCCTGGCACAGAGCAGTTGCTGATCAACACAGCTGTGGCCAGGGCTGAGAAAAGGACAAGCATTTCCTCTGCCAGGAGAGAGATCCATGCCATTCTGGAGCCCCACCCATTCCCAGGAAGGTCCCCTCCAAGCACCAGCCTCTAACACAGTCCCCTTTCTCACAGCAGAGCCCCCCACTGTAGTGACTGGCAGTTTTCTGGTGGGGCCAGTGAGCGACTCCTCCACCCTGCCCTGCCTGCTACCGCCTGCTCTGTTCAACCAGGAGCCAGCCTCCGGCCAGACTCACCTGGAAGAAACCTACCAGACGCCCAGTATGTTAGGGGGGCTTGGAGAGGGCGGGCTTTCTCCCTCTTGGGAGGTGGCTGAGGAGTTGACGCTAAGACTGCCAGGAGCTGAATCTCCCCCCTCCCTGACCCTGGCAGTGTCACTCACCTCTGTCCCAGCCAGTTTTATTCTTGGGGCCCCCATCAGCTCAGTCCCTATCAGAGAACACGCCTTGGAAGGAAGCACGTCCATGTGACGCTTAGGAGGGAATCTCCACCGATGAGGGCATTCAGCTGCAAGCCTCATTAATTCATCAGCTTTCACGGACCCCCTTCTCTGTGCCACCTGCTCCGCTTCGTGCTAAGAAGGCCAGCAGGGCAGGACACACACAGCTGCTGCTCTTAGGGAAGTTAGGGCCGTTTAGGGGAGTCAGACATTAATCAAATAAGCAAAAGCAGAATTACAAACACAGGTGCTATGCAAACTCCCACCTTGCTGCCTGTGTCTCTTGCAGTGCCTTCCTCCAGTTCCTCGCTGAGCTGCCTGAATCTCCCTGAGGAACCTGTCCAGTTCATCCCCACCCTCTCCACTCTGCCCCAGGGGTTCTGGCAAATCTCTGGGGCTGGGACAGGAGTCTCCAGTATATTCATCTACCACAGTGAGTACAGGGCCTGGCCCCCAACCGTCTCTCCCTTCTACCTGACTACTCCCCGACCTCATCCTCCGCATACTCCATGCACTTGGCAGTGGTGCCCTAGCACCTTCTCATGATCCTCCCTCCCTGGTACAACTTTCTCTGTCCCCATTTCCCAAAAATCAGAACAGAGGAGCAGAGATTCCTCAGGTGGTCTGACCAAGAGTGGTGTGTGGCCTTCCATATGTTGCTTTCCCCTTCTGACCCTTAGTTTTTCCTTATTTTTTAAACATTTTTGTTTTTAAATTGCAAATAAGCAGTGTTTACGAGAATCGACTCACTCTTTTCGTATACTGATGTGAATAGTTTGGCGTGCATCCTTGCATAGCTTTCTCTGATTTGTCTTGTTTCCTAATCAGTAAAATGGTCCCTACTGTCCCCCCACACTGAGGGGTTGTGAATTGTCCCAGGGAAGTTGTGTTTTGGCTCTCAGGGATGAGGCCAGGAGGATGCTTCCACGCAAGTCCAGAGTGTCCGTTCATGGTTGCATGATAGTTTCAGTAAAAGGCACTGGTGTCCCAGAAGCAGAGGAGCAGTTCCCAACATCTAGGAAAATGAGCACTAATCATACAAAAGGAAGAGTGCTATAGTAGCACCTGCCCTAAGGTCCTTGGGAGCTAATTGTGCCCTTTTCACAGATGGGAAAAGCAAGGTTCCAGGAGCTAGATGTAACTCCAGAGCTCTTTCCTCGGCTCTGTCCTGAAATGTCCTCCTTTGGAAGTTCTCCTCTCCTCTCTCGAGACTTCCTGAGCTCCACAGCCCGGACTGGAGTAGGGGTGACCCAAGTGCATTTCTGGAATGAATACCTGGTTGTTCTCAACACCTTTCTCCACCTCCAATGTAGGTGAGGTGCCCCAGGCCAGTCAACCACCTTCTCCCAGTGGACCCACTGTCCATGGCCTCCCGGCATCTCCAGACCGGCCAGGCTCCACCAGCCCCTTCGCTCCATCAGCCACTGACCTGCCCAGCATGCCTGAGCCTGCCCTGACCTCCCGAGCAAACGTGACAGGTGAGGACCCTTGGGGCCTGTGACAGGCACTGGAAGCAGGATCGAGGCCCTGGGGAAGGAATGGTCTCAGATAAGACCCACGAGCAGGTCATGTTTAGGGGTCAGACAGGACAGGGAGAGTCTCGGGGGAGTCAGGGCATGGTTGTGGGGGAGGGGACAGCTGGAGAATCCAAATCCCATCTGAACACAGCCACCAGCCTTCAGCTGCTTGTTACTCAGCAGAAAAAGCCAATGTGGCCAGATTTTTTGAAGCTGAAAACCCTGATTTTTACATAGATACTGTGATTTTTATTTTTATTTTAAATTTAATTTTAATGTTATTTATTTTATTTTATTATTTATTGTTGAGATGGACTGTCGCTCTGTTCCCCAGGCTGGAGTGCAGTGGTGCCATCTCGGCTCACTGCAACCTCCGCCCTCCAGGTTCAAGCGATTTTCCTGCCTCAGGCTCCCGAACAGCTGGGACTACAGGTGTGCACCATCACACTTGGCTAATTTTTTGTAATTTTAGTAGAGACAAGTTTCACCATGTTGGCCAGGCTGGTCTCCAACTCCTGACCTCAGGTAATCCACCCGCCTCAGCCTCCCAAAGTCCTGGGATTACCAGCCTGAAATTGTGATTTTGAAAAAAACGGGTGAAATTTGTTAAAGTATAGCTGGCCAAAGAAAGACATCTTTGCCATGGATATGGCCTCAGGCCTCTGTCTTACAACCTCCATCTTGGGAAAGTCAGCCCATGAATGCTGTAAGGACTGTGTCCCAGAGGGAGGGGAATCCCCGGGGGTAATCCTCACCCTAACTCTGGCACCTGCTTCTCCATCTCCAGAGCACAAGACGACCCCCACCCAATGCCAGGCAGCTGGAGAGGGCTCCAACAAGCTTCCAAAATGGCCTGGTGAGTGGTGCCCCAGGTTCTGGGGAGCCCAAATCTGGCTTCATCTCACTCATTCACTTGATCCTTATTCAATCCCTTCTTTGTTGGCTCACACATGCATTCATTCATTCCCTTATTTGATCATGCCATCACTTCAGCGTTCACTCTACCACTCCCTCACGCAATATTCATTGAAAAGCTGCCCTTCAATAAGCCTGAAGTGGGCACGGACATCTCATTTTCAGGCTGAGAGAAGGAATGAGGAGGGCGTGGTTAACGGAGTGAGTGAGTGAGTGGATGAAGTGAGATGAGGTTGGGAGCGATGGACAGTGGGAATAAACCAATGAATAGGAGAATTGCTAGGTTACTAAATGCTTGCTCTCACATACTGGTCTAAGCATGTTAGGTATATTAAATCATTAAAGTCTCACACAACCCCAATATTATCCCCATTTTCCAGATGAGGCTACTGAGTCATGGTGGGATGTATAACATGCTCAGGATTGCTCCAGCAAGTGGTAGAGCCGGGATTTGAACCCAGACACGTGGGCTCCACTGTCTTAACTCTTAGCACTCCCTCCCATGACCTCCCCACGGTGAGTGAGTAGTGAACAAGAGAAGAAAAAGGTTACTGAGTAAATGAAGGAATGAAAGACAGTGGCCAGTGCAGTGGCTCACGCCTGCAATCCCAGCCCCTGGGGAGGCCAAGGCAGGCGGATCGCCTGAGGTCAGGCGTTCAATACCAGCCAGGCCAACATAGTGAAACCCCGTCTCTACTAAAAATACAAAAATTAGCCGGGCGTTGTGGTGTGTGCCTGTAATCCCAGCTGCTTGGAAGGCTGAGGCAGGAAAATCGCTTGAACCCAGGAAGTGGAGGTTGCAGTGAGCCGAGATCATGCCATTGCACTCCAGCCTGGGCAACAGAGCAAGATCCATCACACACAAAAAAAGAGAGAGATGGAAAAGGCCTAAAAAGAGTAGACAGATAAATGAGAGAGAGGATGAGTGAATGAATGAATGGGTATGGAAATGAGTGAACTAATGAATGAGTATCTGGGTGACTGAATGAAGCAGTTAATGAAGACTGTAAGGTGGCCAGACGTGGTGACTCCCACCTGTAATCCCAGCACTTTGGGAGGCCAAGGTGGAAGGATTGCTCAAGCCCAGGAGTTCAAGACCAGCCTGGGCAGCATAGTGAGACTTTATCTCCACAAAAAACAAAAAAGAAAAATTAGCTGGGCTTGACAGTGGGCACTTGTAGTCCCAGCTACTCAGGAGGCTGAGGCAGGAGGATCACTTGAGCCTGCGAGGTTGAGGCTGCAGTGGGCCATGATTGTGTCATTGAACTCCAGCTGGGGCAACATAGTGAGACTCCATCTTTATAAAAAAATCAAAAAATTAGCCAGGCATGGCGTCATATGTCTGTGTTCCCAGCTCCTTGTGGGGTGGAGTTGGGAGGATCACTTGAGCCCAGGAGGTTGAGGCTGCAGTGAGCTGTGATCGCACCACTGCGCTCCAACCTGGGTGACAAAGCCAGACTCTGTCTAAAAAAAAAAAAAAACTGTGTGGGGAACAGATGTAGATGATGGCAGCAGTGCTGGCCTCGGGGAGGCGAGCCCTGGCCCTGCCTCTCCCCTCCCCCTTCCCTGACACACCCCTGGCCTTTGCAGAGTCAGTGGAGCAGTTCCACCGCTTGCTGCAAGACACGTATCAGACTGAACCTGCAGGCCCGGATGGCATCCTGGTGGAGGCAGATCTGGTGCGTGCCAAGCTGGAGAGGAGCAGCAGCAAGAGCCTGGAGCGGGAACTCGCCACGCCAGACTGGGCAGAGCGGCAGCTGGCCCACGGAGGCCTGGCTGAGGTGCTGCTGGCTGCCAGGGAGCGTCCGCGGCCGCGTGAGACCCAAGTGATTGCTGTGCTGGGCAAAGCTGGTCAGGGCAAGAGCTGTTGGGCTGGGGCAGTGAGCCGGGCCTGGGCTTGTGGCCGACTTCCCCAGTACGACTTCGTCTTCTCTGTCCCCTGCCACCGCTTGAACCGTCCGGGCGATGCCTACCGCCTGCAGGATCTGCTCTTCTCCCTGGGCCCACGGTCACTCGTGGCAGACGATGAGGTCTTCAGCCACATCTTGAAGAGGCCTGACCGTGTTCTGCTCATCCTAGACGCCTTCGAGGAGCTGGAAGCACAAGACGGCTTCCTGCACAGCACGTGCGGACCGGCGCCCGCAGAGCCCTGCTCCCTGCGAGGGCTGCTGGCCGGCCTTTTCCAGAGGAAGCTGCTCCGAGGCTGCACCCTCCTCCTCACCACCCGGCCCCGGGGCCGCCTGACCCAGAGCCTGAGCAAGGCCGATGCCCTGTTTGAGCTCTCCGGCTTCTCCGTGGAGCAGGCCCAGACCTATGTGATGCGCCACTTTGAGTGCTCAGGGAAGACGGAGCAGCAAGCCAGAGCCCTGGCGCTCCTCCGGGACCGGCCATTCCTCCTCAGTCATGGCCACAGCCCCACTTTGTGCCAGGCAGTGTGCCAGCTCTCAGAGGCCCTGCTGGAGCTGGGGGGGGACGCCGAGCTGCCCTCCACGCTCACGGGACTCTATGTCGGCCTGCTGGGCCCTGCAGCCCGTGATGGCCCCCCGGGGGCCCTGGCAGAGCTGGCCAAGCTGGCCTGGGAGCTGGGCCGCAGACACCAAAGCACCCTACGGGAGGACCACTTCCCATCCGCAGACGTGAGGACCTGGGCAGTGGCCAAAGGCTTAGTGCAGCACCCGCCGGGGGCCGCCGCGGCCGAGCTGGCCTTCTGCAGCTTCCTCCTGCAGTGCTTCCTGGGGGCCATGTGGCTGGCTCTGAGCGGCGAAATCAAGGACAAGGAGCTCCCGCAGTATCTAGCATTGACCCCCAGGAAGAAGAGGCCTTATGACAACTGGCTGGAAGGCGTGCCACGCTTTCTGGCCGGGCTGATCTTCCAGCCTCCCACCCGCTGCCTGGGAGCCCTGGTGGGGCCATCGGCGACTGCCTTGGTGGACAGGAAGCAGAAAGTGCTTGCGAAGTACCTGAAGCGGCTGCAGCCGGGGACGCTGCGGGCTCGTCAGCTGCTGGAGCTGCTGCACTGCGCCCACGAGGCCGAGGAGGCTGGGATTTGGCGGCACGTGGTGCAGGAGCTCCCCGCCCGCCTCTCGTTTCTGGGCACCCGGCTCACACCTCCCGATGCACATGTATTGGGCAAGGCCTTGGAGGCGGCGGGCCGAGACTTCTCCCTGGATCTCCGCAGCACTGGCATTGACCCCTCGGGATTGGGGAGCCTCGTGGGACTCAGCTGTGTCACGCATTTCAGGTGGGGGCAGGGGCCAGGAGAAGGGGCACGCCTGTGTTGGCCATTAATTGTGGTCTTGGTGCCAAGCCCAGTGCTCACTCTGGGGGGTTTTAGTATGCACAGCAGCCGGGTGGGGCGGAATGGATTCTCTCCTCCTTTTTTTTTTTTTTTGAGACAGAGTCTTGCTCTGTTGCCCAGGCTAGAGTGCAGACTGCAGGGGCACAGTTTCAGCTCACTGCAGCCTCCACCTCCTGGGTTCAAGCAATTCTCCTGCCTCAGCCTCCCGGTAGCTGGGATTATAGGTGTGCATCAACATGCACAGCTAATTTTTGTATTTTTGGTACAGAGGGGGTTTCACCATGTTGGTCAGGCTGGTCTCTAACTCCTGACCTGGAGATCCACCCACCTCACCCTCCCAAAGTGCTGGGATTACAAGGGTGAGCCACCGCACCTGCCCTGATTCTCTTCATTTTTAAGGTGAGGATGTTGAGGCTCAGAGAGGGGCAGCCACTCGCCTAAAGCCACACAGCAAGTGAGAGTCAGTGGCATTCTCCCAATAAATATTTGAGACTCCGCTATGTGCCATTCACTGGGACATGGCTAGAATCGGAGACTGACCTGGGCCCCAATTTGTTTATTCTTTCCACCTGTGGAGTAAGCCACCATTATCTCATGCTTACAGTAAAGCCATGGCCTCTCCTTGGACTCTCTGCCTCCAATCTTTCCTCTACCCCTCCATTTGATCTTCAGCAACCAGAGCAATCGTCTCAGAGCTTGAATCCTGTTATATTCTACCTCTGCTTGTGATCCTTCAAGGATACTCCACCACTGTCGGGATGAATCTAAATTCCTTAATTTGGCTTCAATAAGTCGGTCTGCAGTCTACTTGAGCATTTCAGCTTAATCTCCAGAGGACTGCTTCCATATTCCCCCCTAAACATACTTTACCCAAGCTGTAAAGTCCTACATCATTGTGCCAAGAATTTGGCAGTGAGCTTCCTGGTAGCCAGAGCAAAAAGGGAAAGAAAACCACCATGAGAGTTGTAAGAAAGTAGGACTCAACAAAGGCTAAAGTGGTCATGGAAGGCTTTCTGGGAAAGGTAGAGGTTGAGCTAAGGAAGGAAAGTATCTTAATAGGTCAGAGGGCCCTTATGGAGCTGCCGTTCCATTAAGGTAGCCTGGTTACCATACCTGGGTCTGAGGCCCTCCCTCCACAGGGCTGCCTTGAGTGACACAGTGGCACTGTGGGAGTCCCTACGGCAGCATGGGGAGACCAAGCTACTTCAGGCAGCAGAGGAGAAGTTCACCATCGAGCCTTTCAAAGCCAAGTCCCTGAAGGATGTGGAAGACCTGGGAAAGCTCATGCAGACTCAGAGGTGAGGGGAGAGGGGGATGGGAGGTGGTTCAGGCCGTGCAGGTTGAGGACATGTAGGACCCATGATCAAACTTGTCATGGGAATTTCCAGGGACCCCTGTTCTTTGAGATACCCCATGCCGTCTTTCTGGGCAGTGGCTACCCAGAACCTCTCGCTGACTAGGCAGACCCTTCAGGATCGAAAACTTCACTGCATTCATAACTTGCCATCATGTGCCCAAGTCTTACCTAAAGCCATGGAGAACCTCTCCCCCTCTAGGAGTTAACAAGGATGGCTTGTGTATCTAGTAACAGAAATGACACCTACTGCCGCCCTTTGAAGCATTTAGGACAACTGTTGTCCTGAATTTGTAGATGGCCAAGCTAAGGTCCAGAAGGCAGACAAAACTTGATTACAGAACAAGTTAACTGTCTTTCATTCATTCCTTCATCACACATTGTTTGAGCACCTCTTACATGCTGTCTGGGATAGGTACTGGTAAGTGCCTAAGCTGAGGCTCGTTTCCGTGAAAGATACAGTCCTGAGATCTTTTATTTTTATTTTTATTATTTTTTAGAGACAGAGTTTCACTCTGTCTAGCAGGCTAGAGTACAGTAATGCGGTCATAGCTTACTGCAGCTTCAGAACTCCTGAGCTCAAGCATTCCTCCTGCCTCAGCCTCCCCAGTAGCTGAGATAATAATTGCACATCATCACACTGGATGATTTTTTAAGTTTTTGTAGACACAGGGATCTTGCTATGTTGTCCAGTCTGGTCTTGAATACCTGGCCTCAAGTGATCCTCCTGCCTCAGCCTCCCAAACTGCTGGGCCTATAATCATGAGGCACCACACCTAGGCAGATCTTTTTTTTTTAACAGGAAGACAGCAGCAGCCCCAAGGAAAGGCATCCATGCCCCCCCGGGGGGAATTGGGGCACTGGGGCAGTCATCATGGGACCTGTGGGTAAGGGCTCAGTGACAGCAGTGCCTGCTCCCCCTAATATTGCCTGTTCTCTCCAGGACGAGAAGTTCCTCAGAAGACACAGCTGGGGAGCTCCCTGCTGTTCGGGACCTAAAGAAACTGGAGTTTGCGTAAGCAAAGGGGTGGATTGTCTCGCGGGTCTGCACAAAGCTTTCCCTGCGCCATTAGCTGGGCTTGTAGCACCTGCATGGAGATGGATCTCCAGGGTCATTCTTGCCCTTTTGCCCACCACTTTGGAAATAGCTTCTAGCAGCTGGATGGTGGCCAGTCTGGGCAAATGCTGAAAGTTCTAGGATTTGAAGCTAATGAACCCATTTGCTGGTTAACATGGTCATTCCATCACTCATTCAACAGATGTATTGAGCACTTGAATGACTGAGGCTGCTGTCCTCAATGAGCTGACAGTCTAATCAACTTCTCTCTGGAAGAGGTCAGGGGGACTTCCTGGAGGAGGTGATATTTCCATTGAAGCTTCAGTGAGGATAAAGAATGAGCCAAGTGGGAGAAGGGGAGTAAGAAAGGCCTTTCAGAAATTATAATTTGGTCAGGAACCAGAAAAGATCCCAATGTGTCCCCAACCTTACATAGGAAGATGCCACTATGACTGTGGGGTCCTTCTCACTCCTGTGGCCAGGAACTACGCAACGGCCGTTGTGCCTGAGCTTGTTTACTTCCATAGTGAAGGGATGACCTCCCCAGGAAGAATCTTCCCTCCAGTTTGAAGGATTCCCAGGAGCTTTTGATGTGCAGCTAGGATGAACAAGCTTCCCTACTTGTCTGGGACTATCCTGGTTTGAGAACTGAAAGTCCTGTGTCCCAAGAAACCCCTCAGCCCCAGGCAAACTGGGACAGTTGGTCACCTTATGTGCAGCCAGGGCTGGGGGCCGACATCCTAGGCAGTGCTGCTGGGGTGACAGGAATGGAGACCCAGGCAGGGCCCTAGAGAGTCCAGTTGTGTCTGAGTGGGGGCAGCCTACCATATACGGGCCCCAAGAGAGCACAGTACTCATTAGAAATTATTATATTTAGATCTGTCAGAACATAGCCTTTCTTTCTTTCTTTTCTTTCCCTTTCTTTCTTTCTTTCCTTCTTTCTTTCTTTCTTTTTCTTTCTTTCTTTCTTTCTTTCTTTCTTTCTTTCTTTCTTTCTTTCTTTCTTTCTTTCTTTCTTTTTCTTTCTTCCTTCCTTCCTCCCTCC